ATGAACTCTCAGCAGAATTGCCTGCATTTGGGTTCTGATGCAAAACACAGACCAAACATTGGAATTAAGCTCTGAAACTCATAGTGGAGTCTTATCACACTAATTATATATCCCTCTATCATTTTCAGGTCTAACCAATAAGGTTTGATAGGCCTTTCATGCTTTGTCGTCATAGATAAGCCTGAACTCTCAGCAGAATTGCCTGCATTTGGGTTCTGATGCAAAACACGGACCAAACATTGGAATTAAGCTCTGAAACTCATATTGGAGTCTTATCACACTAATTCTAGATCCCTCTATCAGTTTCAGCTCTATCCAATAAGGTTTGATAGGCCTTTCATGCTTTGTCGTCATAGATAAGCCTGAACTCTCAGCAGAATTGCCTGCATTTGGGTTCTGATGCAAAACACAGACCAAACATTGAAATTAAGCTCTGAAACTCATAGGGGAGTCTCATCACACAAATTCTAGACCCCCCTATTATTTTCAGGTTAAACCATTAAGGTTTGATAGGCCTTTCATGCTTTGTCGTCATAGATAAGCATGAACTCTCAGCAGAATTGCCTGCATTTGGGTTCTGATGCAAAACACTGACCAACCATTGGAATTAAGCTCTGAAACTCATAGGGGAGTCTCATCACACAAATTCTAGATCCCCCTATTATTTTCAGGTCAAACCATTAAGGTTTGATAGGCCTTTCATGCTTTGTCGTTATATATAAGCATGAACTCTCAGCAGAATTGCCTGCATTTGGGTTCTGATGCAAAACACAGACCAAACATTGGAATTAAGCTCTGAAACTCATAGTGGAGTCTTATCACACTAATTCTATATCCCTCTATCATTTTCAGGTCTAACCAATAAGGTTTGATAGGCCTTTCATGCTTTGTCGTCATAAATAAGCATGAACTTTCAGCAGAATTGCCTGCATTTGGGTTCTGATGCAAAACACAGACCAAACATTGGAATTAAGCTCTGAAACTCATAGTGGAGTCCTTTCACACTAATTCTAGATCCCTCTATCATTTTCAGGTCTATCCAATAAGGTTTGATAGGCCTTTCATGCTTTGTCGTCATAGATAAGCCTGAACTCTCAGCAGAATTGCCTGCATTTGGGTTCTGATGCAAAACACAGACCAAACATTGGAATTAAGCTCTGAAACTCATAGTGGAGTCTTATCACACTAATTCTAGATCCCTCTATCATTTTCAGGTCTATCCAATAAGGTTTGATAGGCCTTTCATGCTTTGTCGTCATAGATAAGCATGAACTCTCAGCAGATTTGCCTGCATTTGGGTTCTGATGCAAAACACATACCAAACGTTGGAATGAAGCTCTGAAACTCATAGGGGAGTCTCATCACACAAATTCTAGATCCCCCTATTTTTTTCAGGTCAAACCATTAAGGTTTGATAGGCCTTTCATGCTTTGTCGTCATAGATAAGCATGAACTCTCAGCAGAATTGCCTTCATTTGGGTTCTGATGCAAAGCACAGACCAAACATTGGAATTAAGCATGTGAAGAAGGTTATCTTTGTTTCTTCCTATGTTGTTGTGTTATGTAGGTCACTAAAGTCCAAGGAATCATAAATGCTAGAACACTTTGTGGTTTATTACAACCAACAGTATCACATGTTTTTAGGGGTTGTACACAGTCCAACCTCAGAGCAGCTAGTAAAGAGTACAAGCCTCACCCGTTCGAAAGTTCAGATTCGAAAACCTAATTCGAAGCTGAGTGTCTTGGCAACCAGCGTTGCAGTAGGCACCTTCGTTTTAGGTCATTCCCGCCATGATTTTCCCACGGTGTAACGAGCGCGACCCGACAGGGGTTGGTTGATTGCTGATGCATAGGCGATCAGTGCGCCTCGGGTGTTGTCACTTGTATCTATCGCTCTGACCTCGTAGCGTCACGCCTCAAGGATGTCTTTGATGTGAGCTATTAAGGCTCTCAATCCGCAATGCAGTCACAAACCGTTGTAAGATTAACGTCAGCTCATATTAGGTCGGCCTAGGGGATGGACTGTCCCACCTTCGTCAGGTGTAGGTTCTGTAGTGCTCATTTTGCCAACTCGCAAAAGTTGGGGAGGCACCTAGCAGGCAACAAGGAGTGCTCTGAGGGGCACTATAGTGCACCCGCCCCACCCGCCCCTGCCAGTTTCGATCGGCGTGGTGGAGTGGTTTTTTACATCCCATGTCGCGGACGTGGGTCCCCAGGCGGAGGCGCCACCAACGTCTCTGTGGATGATCTAGTGCAATCCGAAAATGAAGGCAGCAGTTCAACAGACGTTCCCCAGAGTGTCAACCGGGGCACAGAAGAGATGGATGGCGGAGGTGCGGAGGAGATGGAAAGCGAGCGCACGGAGCAGAGTGAGGCAGCGGAAAGTGATGGAGAGGACACCCCAGCCCCATGTATGGCTGCTGACACCTCCTGCTCCAGTGGCATGGTGGAATCGGACGTAGGTGCTACTCCTCCTGGACCCCGAGTCAACTGGCACCCCGCCCTACTGAAGCTGCTGGAATTTCTAGACACCGCCAATGGGGGAATGAGCCTATCGAAGATGGACAAGGGCAAACTGATACAACTGCTGCTTGTTCCAGAGTTGGCGCACGTGCTAGTTGCTGAGAATCTGAGGACATGCCGAGACCTGGAGCGCCTTCAGCTCGAGTATATCGCGGGCACCGGAAGAGGATTCCTCACCACAACTTTCGTCGTAGAGGGCTACCCACCACAAGTCCTCTACCACCGGGACATCATGCGGGTGAGCCATCGTTTTTTGTTTATGCTCTCTCCCACCCCTATTTCAATTATGCTAGTCTTGATGCGCGTGTGACCTTGCTCTACAACCATGTTATCTGTGATGCTGCTCTCATACGCAATTGCTTGTGTTCACTTACTTCCATAATCTGTAATATGTGTGTGCTTTCTCTCTCATGCCCGCTAATCTATGCTGATTACATCTCATACCCCACTGCTTTTGTTCAATCTCTCTTTCAACTGGGCGTCTGTTCTGAAGCGATCTCATACCTCACAAGTTGATGCACCCTTCCTCTCGCACCATGTTTTGTATGCTGTTTTGCACACACACCTTACTGCTTTTGTTCATGTGCTATCCGACCAGGCATGTTTTCAAAGCTGTGTTGCTCTCATACCTTTAATCTGACAGTGCCCGTCATCTCCCACCCTGTTGTGTTGCTCCAACACCCTTACTACTCATATGCATACAAGCCCTGTGTCCTATGCTATGTTGCTCCCATACCTTAATTCTTGCGTTCCCTTCCTCTACAACCCTGCGTCCTATGCTGTTTTGCTCTCACACCTTAGTGCCTGTGTTCAATTGCTCTCAAACCAACCCTGTTTCCTATGCTGATTTGAAACCATACCTTAATGCTGGTGTTCCCTTCCTCTACAACCCTGTTTTCTATGCTGTTTTGCACTCTCTCCTTGCTGTCTGTGAGACCCCGCTCTCCGAACCACCATTTCTTCGGAGCTGTTTTGCGCTCATATTTTGCTCCTCTTCTTACCTTCCTCTCCAGCACTGATTTATATGCTGTTTTGCTCTCACAACTTTCTGCCTGTGTTCCCTTCATGTAGAACACTGTTTTGTAGGATGTTGTGGTCTCATACGTTTTTGCTTGTGTTCCATTTCTCTCCCGGCCTAATTTCTGTAAAGTTTACATTCCCTTGCTATCCAACCTTCTGACCCGGTTTCATCACTATTCGCTGTCAGGAACTGGCACGAATGTTTGGCCACCCACACAATGCCAAGGGCTTCCGCTTCAGGCCTAAAGTCGTTGTTGACGGAGACACAAACGAGCGAACATACACAACGGCTGAAACTGGCACATGGTGGAATGACGCGCAGGTACTGACCTTTGTGGACCCTAGCTCATGTTTTTGGCACCGCATTGTAGTTTGTGCTTATGTTCCGAATGTGCAAGTTGTCGTCAAATGACTTGAATGGACCATGGCGTGTCACCCTCATAATGTTGGTGGAACGATCCAACATTTACCCCTATTATCTTGTGGCAGGCATTCGTCGGACCAGAGGTGGTTATTGCGGCCTTACTATTCTACAGTGACGTGACACACCTGAGCAACAACGGGCGTAAGAAGGCGCACCCAGTAATGATGACTCTTGCCAACATTCCATTGCCCAAACGGTGGGGGGAAGCGGGACATTCGCTGCTGGCGTTATTGCCCATCCCCCCCAAGGGAATGCCGTCTCGAGTGAAGACGGAGCTTTTCAACAAATGCATCGCCAAGATAATGGAACCTATTCGACAGGCCAAAGAGAGGTTTGCTCACTCCCCCAATGCTGGACCCCCCAGCTCCCACCACTTGCTGACACGAAGTATGCTGCCCCCATCACCCCCCCTCTTCCCCCCCCCCACCACCTCCCCTGGCTCACTCGACCAATGCTGGACCCCCCTCCCCTTTGCTCACTCGCCCAATGCTGATTCCCCCCCCGCCCTTGCTCACTCGGCCAATGCTGAACTTGCTCACTCGCACAATGCTGAAATCCCTACCTTGCCCACTCGCCCAGTGCTGTTTTTTTCCCGTTTGTCATCCAGACGTTTAGAAGTACCTCCCATGGTCACTTGTCCACTGGTCATTCACCCCATCCTCTGATGCATGCTCCGCGTGTCCCCTCATGCTCAACTCTACCTCCACCCGACCGCAGAGGGGTAATGCTAGAGGATGCCGACGGCGATTTGCACAACGTGATCCCCATGTTTTACGGCTGGGCGTGTGACTACCCTGAGTCAGGGAAAGTCACCTGCACGCTATCCGGGCAGGGGTGCAGCAAGCCATGCAGCCTTTGCTATGTGGACAAGGTGTGGTGCCGCCCTTTCAGGCCAACTTGCGAATGCTGCCTTGTGTAGCCCGTTTTATCAATCAAGCTTCTCTCAGCCCGTTCTTGATGTGACCATTGCACATGTACTGTCCTTTTTGTGGCTTTGCACATGCATTAGTCACCCTGGTTCCTTGTTTGTTCCTTACATCTTTGAACCGTCCTCCCCATACCCTTTCTGCTTTGATGGTGGTGCTTTGTGTGATCGTTGCCAGGAGAACTTGTCATCTGTCCACCTCGAGAACAGCATGCGCACGCCGGAGCTGCAACAATTGATTCGAGATCAACCCCCACCGACGACTCGTCCACGTGGGGAATCGAGCTTGAAGCGTTTCTCCACATTTGATGTTGACGTACGTTGAAGCGACGCAGCTCGTGTTCATATCCTCACTGCTCATATCCCCACTGCTCATATCCCCACTGCTCATATCATCACTGCTCATATCCCCACTGCTCATATCCCCACTGCTCATATCCCCACTGCTCATATCCCCACTGCTCATATCCTCACTGCTCATATCCCCACTGCTCATATCCCCACTGCTCATATCCCCACTGCTCATATCCCCACTGCTCATATCCCCACTGCTCATATCCTCACTGCTCATATCCTCACTGCTCATATCCCCACTGCTCATATCCCCACTGCTCATATCCCCACTGCTCATATCCCCACTGCTCATATCCCCACTGCTCATATCCTCACTGCTCATATCCTCACTGCTCATATCCCCACTGCTCATATCCCCACTGCTCATATCCCCACTGCTCATATCCCCACTGCTCATATCCCCACTGCTCATATCCCCACTGCTCATATCCCCACTGCTCATATCCCCACTGCTCATATCCCCACTGCTCATATCCCCACTGCTCATATCCTCACTGCTCATATCCCCACTGCTCATATCCCCACTGCTCATATCCCCACTGCTCATATCCCCACTGCTCATATCCCCACTGCTCATATCCCCACTGCTCATATCCCCACTGCTCATATCCTCACTGCTCATATCCAATTGACAACTAGGTTGTTGTCCTCTGGATGACCATTTAGGGTTGTTGTACTAGTACCCTGAACCAGAGCACCTAGACCCTGAAAAGTTACAGGTTTCCCCTCTGTGTCATCATCCTCGTGCTCTCTCAATCCTATCCCGTAGTGTGCGCTTTGGATGTGGACCGTCGAGGGAACGCTGTGGGGCAATCCGTACTTGGCAGTGATGCCGGATATAATGCACCAAGCTGACCTTGGATTGCTGGACCACATCGTGAGGAGCATTCGGATGCTGATTCCTGCAGCGCTACCCACTCTGGACCAGTGAGTAGCTTTGTGTTTTGGTTTTGTTGGTTCAATTGATTCCAATAAAAGCACCTTGAATAGTGTCTCTGTTCCATTTACAAATCATACTGCATGCTTGTGGTGCAGGCGGCTGAAAGAGCTCAGGGGAGTGACCCGAATCAGCAGTATGCGGCTGCCATCCAACGAGTATTTCGTGTCGGGTGCTCAGACTGCAGCATTTGAACACAGAGCTGTGATGCAGGTGGGTAATGTGACTATATTGGGTGTCCAACACCTCGGATTTGCAATGTGTGATGGCCTTGCATGCCACGGTTTCTGACCTTGAACACAATAGATGCCCTCAATGCTCCCGTATGCTTCGTTCTCCTGCCTCAGATTCTCATCTTCTTAGTGGCAGACAAACTGGGTGCCTCTCAGCTAGACGCAATCAGAGCATATCTCACGTGGTACCTTGCCTGCTACGCTCCGTCGCACACCGAGCAATCTTTGAGAGCGCTTCAAGAATATGCTGAAAGGTACGTATACTCTAAACCGCCACCATGCACTGCTCATATATGTTTGGGGCATGGTGGTGACTCTTTAGGCCTCTGCTTTTTAGATTGATGTATGGTAGCCTTGTACGTCAGTTCTGCTTTTTTCAAACATGATGTTTGCTGTCAGTGGTAGCTACTCGTTACCACCCCCCTGCACCTCACCAATGCGCCTTTTACACCCTGTTTACCTCCGCAATGTGCCTTGTCCCCCTTGTGTACCTCCCCATTGTGCCTTATACCTTGCTTGCTTACCACCCCATTGTGCCATATCCCACCAGTTTACCTACCCTTTGCGCCTTACCCCCCCCTGTCTACCTCCCCAATGTGCCCTATCTCTTTGTTCACCTCCCCAATGTGCCATATCCCATTTGTTTACGTCCCATTGTGCCTTATGCCCCGTTTTTACCTCCCATTTGCTTTGTCCATCCGTGTTTACATTCCATTGTGCCTTGTCCCCCCCGTGTTTACGTTCCATTGTGCCTTATACAGCCATGGTGCCCAATAGTGGTGCCCCATTGGGCCATATTCCCCCTGTTTACCTCTCCAACGTGCCATACTTCCTTTGTTCACATCCCATCGTGACCTATCCCCCCTATTAACCTCGCCATTGCGCCATAACTCACTAGAAACCCTACCCTTTGTGCCTCATCCTCCCTGTTTACCTCCTCAAAGTGCCTAATCCTCCCTGTTTACCTCTCCAATGTGCCAGATCCCCTTTGTTTTCCTCCCATTTTGCCTCTCCCCCCCTGGTTACCTCCCATTGTTCCCTATCCCCCCGTGTTTACCTCCCATTGTGCCTCACCCCACTTTTCTTTACTCACATTGTGGCTCATCCCCCTGTGTTTACCTTCCTTAACCCCCTGCCCCCCCTGTTTACCTCTCCAACGTGCCATATTCCCTTTGATTGCCTCCCATTGTGCCTTAACCCCCCTGTTTACCTCCTCATTGCTCCTTATCCCCCCATGTTTACCTCCCATAATGCCATATCCCCCCGTGTTTACCTCCCATTTTGCCTTATCCCCTCTATTTACCTCTCTCACTTGCCATATTCACTTTGTCTATCTCCCACTGTGACTCAACCCCCCTGTTTACCTCCCCACCCTAAACCTTATCCCCCGGTGTTTACCTCTGCAATGTACCTTATCCCCCCGTGTTTACCTCCCATTATGCCTTATCCCCCCGTGTTTACCTCCCTTTGTGCCTTATCCCCCCTGTTTACCTCTCTCACATGCCAGATTCCCTTTGTCTATCTCCCACTGTGACTCAACCCCCCTGTTTACCTCCCCATCGTACCTTATCCCTCCGTGTTAACCTCCCCATCGTACCTTATTCCCCCGTGTTTACCTCCCCATTGTACCCTATCCCCTCGTGTTTACCTCCCCATTGTACCTTATTCCCCCGTGTTTACCTCCCCATTGTACCTTATCCCCCCGTGTTTACCTCCCATTATGCCTTATCCCCCCGTGTTTACCTCCCTTTGTGCCTTCTCCCCCCTGTTTACCTCTCTCACATGCCAGATTCCCTTTGTCTATCTCCCACTGTGACTCAACCCCCCTGTTTACCTCCCCATCGTACCTTATCCCTCCGTGTTAACCTCCCCATCGTACCTTATTCCCCCGTGTTTACCTCCCCACTGTACCTTATCCCCTCGTGTTTACCTCCCCATTGTACCTTATTCCCCCGTGTTTACCTCCCCATTGTACCTTATCCCCCCGTGTTTACCTCCCCATTGTACCTTATCCCCTCGTGTTTACCTCCCCATCGTACCTTATTCCCCCGTGTTTACCTCCCCATTGTACCTCATCCCCTCGTGTTTACCTCCCCATTGTACCTTATTCCCCCGTGTTTGCCTCCCCATTGTACCTTATCCCCCCGTGTTTACCTCCCCATTGTACCTTGTCCCCTCGTGTTTACCTCCCCATTGTGCCTTATCCCCATCGTTTACCTCTCCATTGTGCTATAACACCCCTGTAAACCTCCTGTTTTGTCACACAATGCCTGCTAACATCCCCACTGCTCACATCCCAGTTGCACCATAAACCTATTGCTCCAATACCCACTGTTCCCATCCCCATTGCTCCCATCCTTGTTGCTTCCATCCCCACTGCTCGCATACCCACTGCCCACATCCTCATTGCTCACATCCCCGCTGCTCCCATCCCCACTGCTCCCATCCCCACTGCTCCCATCCCCATTGCTCCCATCCCCATTGCTCCCATCCCCATTGCTCCCATCCCCATTGCTCCCATCCCCATTGCTCCCGTCGCCATTGCTCCCGTCGCCATTGCTCTTGTACCCCTTGCTCCATTCCCAGTACTTCCAGCCCCACTGCTCACATCCCTACTGCTCCTAAACCCACCGATCACATCTCCCTAGCTCACATCCCCGTTGCCTCCATCCCCACTACTCACATCCCTGCTGCTCACATACCCACTTCTCCCATTTCCAATGCTCTCATCCCAACTGCTCACATCCGCATTGGTCCCATCCTCGTTGGTCCCATCCCTATTGCTCCCCTCCCCACTGCTCCCATCCCCATTCCGCATATCATGCAATTCTCTTGACTACTGCGTCTGACAACTCACCTGTTGAACCTCAATCTGACCTCCAGTCTTACCTCTCCTCTTTCACCCCTATGCATCCGTGGCAGGCTTGTGGAGTTGCTGAAGCAAGCCTTCCCGGAGCAGGCTTCTGCGTGGAATCTTGTGAAGACGCATCTCATGACGCACTTTGCTCAAGCAATTCGTCGTGCAGGATATGTGCACGAGTACAGCACGAACACCTTTGAGCACTTGCATGGGCCGCTGCTCAAACAGGTGTATCGACGTTCAAACAAACGGAACGCAGACTCGCAGATCATGAAGCATCATGAGCTGCGCCTGGATTTCACACTTGTCGAGGAAAATGAGAATGGTCGACAGATGGCAATGCAGAAGGTACTGTACAGCAACTCTTTCAGATTGCATGCTAGGATTTATGGGCACTTGATGTCGCTTACTTGTGCGTAATATGTGCAGGCAATAGAAGAAGGGAGAAGGGTCATGACAAGAGACTCATACTCCTTGCAAGTCGATCCGACAGAGTTCCGATCACGAAATTGGTTCGCGCAAATGTGGGCGCAACAACACGTCGAGGCTCACATTCAGTTCAAGAGTGCCCTTGCACGTCGGCAGCTGGCGCCAGCCACAGTTAGGGTGAGAATGAGATATTGCTACAGGGGGGAACATTGACTAACAAGGTATTCCGCTAATATGTCGGCATTTCCATTGATGCAGGCCCACACAACTCTTGCGATCCCTGCAGCCGAAGACGCTGGTTTTGCTCGAACCGCCCATTTTCTCAAGGCAACGCCAAAGTCCCATGACAAGCCTTGGTTCTCAGATGTGGCAATCAAAGGGGAAACAAGAGAGGGGAGTGATGAGGAGTGGTATGGAAGACTCCTCTTGATTTTCCAGGCCAAGCATAGAGGGGTCACCCATGACTTGGCCTTAGTTAGGTATTGGTCTGCGGCAGGCGAAGACACGAAAACCGGATGCAAGCGTCTGACATGGACGACTGGCACCTCCCAGTATTCAGTCATTGACTGCGATTCGATAAAAAGGCAGGTGCAGGTCGTGAAGTCGTTCCACAGTGCGAACTCGTTTTACTTGAATAAGTACCTGTTGTAGGTTTTACGTGTGATTCCAGTAATAATAATGACACTCTGAATGATGCATGCACTTTCAATAAATATGTTTTCTGGTTCTATTTATACGTATGGGCGTTCCAGCATTCCTTAAGAGTTAACACAAATCATTGCATACATATTCCACAAACCAATTACTCATAAGAAAAGCAGGCCAAAGTTGGCCTGGAATTGTTCCGAAATGGGTCCACCCCTGTGGGTCCGAAGCGCCAAGCTGCTCGCGCGGACAAAAGTTGCTCCACGAAATTGGAAAATTTCGCGGGTCGACTCTCTCAGCCTCGAAACTCTGCTTTCAACCAAGTCAAAGCCAGGACAGCACACCATAAATTGGCCAACATTCGGCCAATCTGGTTTCGCCGCGGCGCTATCTGTTTTGCGAGTCGGGTGGATGCCGCGAAAACAACCCAAACATTGAGAAGCGACGCATTTCGCAGGAGGTTGGGCGAAAAAAATTGCAGCACCCACGCAAACCCAACTTCAGAGCCCATCTTCAACCCCTTTCCCCGCAATTGAAAACGGGCCTTTTTTGTGATGTACTACGGAAACTACAACGCCAACCCTTACTTCGGCAAGGGACTCACCGCGAAGATTCCTGACGCGCTCTTCAGCAAGCGATGCGGCGCGTGCTTCAAGGTGATCTGCAGCAACGACACGAAGCGCTGCCGCAGCGGCAAGGCCACCGTCACCGTCCGCGTCGTCGGCGCCACCAAGACGGAGGGGAAGCAGATTTCGCTCTCCGCCGTCTCATGGGCGAAAATCGTGCAGGGTTCGGAAACTGCCCCTGTGAACATCACGTACAAGCGCACCAACTGCGTTTCCACCGCCGGATCGGCGGTGCGCGTGCGCAGCAACTCCACCGCGGAGCATTTTAACATTCAGATGGTCGGCCTTGCCGGGCCCGGCACGCTTACCGAGGTAGAGCTTAGCGCGGACGGCAAAAAGTGGGTGAAGCTGACCCGCGACGGAAACAAGGCGATTTGGGGGATCAAGGGCAAGGAGGCGAAGGCGGTTGTGGGCGCGAAGAAGGCTATGAGCGTTCGCCTCACTGCGGGACACACCAGGGAGAAGATCACCCTCGCGAATGTCATTCCCACCGCCTGGAAGCCTCAAACGCTCTACTCGTCCAAGACCAACTTCAAGAAACTCATGGCTGAGGCCAAGTAGGCAAGTGGTAGGCGTGGGTTTCGAGGCGTGGGTTTCTAGGCGTGGGTTATGGAGGCGTGGGTTTTGGAGGCGCCTTAGAAGAAACCCGCGACGGTGTATTCGTCCAAGACCAACTTCAAAGAAGCTCATGGCTGAGGCTAGGAAAACGTTAACTGTGCGCTCAAGGCGGTTGAAGAAAAATCTAGGTGCCACCTCAATCCTCTGCGCTCGTCCAAGGCTAACTTCAAGAAGCTTATTGTAAGACCAAGTAGGCCTGGTGCGAAGAATATTTGCGGACTCGTCCAAGTCAGGGCGAAGTGGGTTAGGGGGAAGGGGAGGGGATAGGTTAGTGGGGGAGTGGGATTGAGGGTGGGGAGTGCGATGATGCAAAAGGGCTTTTGTATGCACATGATTTTTGAGTCAACAATTTGATTTGCTTGAGTTCAAGACTCGTCCAAACTTCTCTGCTGTGCAGAGTACAACGGAATACAACAGGGTTTAGGTCCCCTGCTGCTTCCACCACTGAAACCAGCAGCAGTGTTTTTCAGTGAAACCAGCGCCACCTGCACCACCCTTTCTCCCCACCACCGACCTCCCTTGCAGGCTACCAAAAACCACTACCGTACCTTATTCTCAACACTGGTTACCACTGGTTACCAGTATTTCCGGCGATTCCACCACCAGGACCACCACCGTCACTAGCCTCACCAGTAACTCCAATAATTCCATCAACTACAGAACCAGAACTGTCAGTGTTACGCCTGCTGCGGCTCCCACTATCCCTACTCCCATCCCAAACTGCTATTGCTGCTGCTGCCGGCGCCGGCGCCGCCACCGCCACTGTTGCTGCGGCTGCTGCTGCAGGCACCATCAAAACCAGAATCACCTGCCACGGCATTGTGTGACACAGCATCACCTGGCTCCTCCTAGCTCTCTCATTTCAGCACTGTTGCTGAAATGTTCTCACCCCTGCCGCTGCTGCCGCCGCCGCCGCCGCCGCCGCTGCTCCTCCTGCCACCATCGAAACCAGAATGACCTGCCATGGCATTAAGTGACACAGCATCACCTGGCTCCTCCTAGCTCTCTCATTTCAGCACTGTTGCTGAAATGTTCTCACCCGTGCCGCTGCTGCCACCGCCGCCGCCGCCGCCGCCGCCGCCGCCGCCGCCGCCGCCGCCGCTGCTGCTGCTCCTGCCACCATCGAAACCAGAATCACCTGCCATGGCATTGAGTGACACAGCATCACCTGGCTCCTCCTAGCTCTCTCATTTCAGCACTGTTGCTGAAATGTTCTCACCCCTGCCGCTGCTGCCGCCGCCGCCGCCGCCGCCGCCGCTGCTGCTGTTGCTCCTGCCACCATCGAAACCAGAATGACCTGCCATGGCATTGTGTGACACAGCAGTAACCTGGCTCCTCCTATCCCACTCTTTTCAACACTGTCGTTGAAAATGTTCACACCACTGCTGCTGCTGCTGCTGCTTTGACCACCTACGGCCACGGCCCACCATAAACACCTTCCCCAGCAGCATTACCTGCACGAGTACCAGCCTCCCCCTCGACCTCACTGAAGTTCTCTCTTTGTTTTACAGAGGATTGCATTGAAGGAACAGCCTCCCTCTGATGCTTCGCCCCTGGATGCTCCTCCCTCGGATGCTCCTCCCCCGAATGCTCCTCCCTCGGATGCTCCTCCCCCGAATGCTCCTCCCTCGGATGCCCCTCCCCCGAATGCTCCTCCCTCGAATGCTCCTCCCCCGAATGCTCCTCCCTCGGATGCTCCTCCCCCAGGTGCTCCTCCCCGGGTGCTCCTCCCTTAGATACTCTTACTATCAGTGCCCATGTTATCTACTTCTGTCACCACCACTGCTGCTGTTGCTAATGCTGCTTCCACCTGCGGAGAATAGGCGATTCTGGGAGAGCCTAGGCGCAGAGTTGCAAAGCGGATGGTTGTAAACCGAATACTGATTTGTGGAAACCGAATACTGATGCCAATCTTGGTATGCAATAATTGAAGGAACGGAATTGATTAAATAATGAAATTGATATATTACAACAGAAACAACATGAACCTTATAGAGAAGCATAGTGACGTGTGCAAGAACGTTCTACGAGAACGTTGTTCACGAAGAACGTTGTTCAAGGAGAACGTGCAAGCACCTACTCTAGAATGCGGTTCCAGGTTGGCACCGCCAGGTGAAAATACCATCAGGTGAAAATACCGTCAACAATATTTCTACCTGCCCAGGAGTAGTTGCGCAGGTTCTTGCAACACTGACAGCTGCACATACGCGTTTGTGCAATGTCGTCACTTCCCTGGTCCAATGTTGAAATGTGCATACCGAAGCGCACATATTGGAGTGTACTTGGCGAATACCGCAATACTGGTAAAACCGGTACGCGGTATGCAAAGTCTCGTTGCTCCGCATAGGGCCGCTACACGCAAAACCAGGCGCGTGCAAGGCTTCGCCTTAACACTCCCCTGCCCTGCTCGTGCCTGGGCAACTGAGGAGTTAGCACACCACACAAAGCGAAAGGAAATAATAGAGTACAACAGGGTGACGATCCTGATACTCGTCCGCGTGTTTTCCGCACACGCATACTCACCGCACCAGCCATGTTGAAGGACATGGCACCTATTCCTGCTCGTTGTCACGCTCGTCGTCTGCAAGATCAACTTGCCCAATGGCGACAGAGCAGCGCTTGAATGCCGGGGAACGTAGCGCCTTCGTGAGATAGTCCGCGGGTTGCTCGCTCGTCGGGATGTACGTAAGCGCGATTTTCTTGCGCTTCACCATCTGCTGCAGCCATATGTACCGCCTCTCCATGTGCTTGAGACTCCCCTTGAGCCCCAACCCTTCCGCAACCGCAATTGCATGTGAGTTGTCCACGTGGATGACAGTCGGCACCCCAACATCTAGAAAGCGCAAACGGTGCGCCTCCTTGCCGGCCTTTATTGTAGCAATGTATTCGGATTCCGTTGAGGACAACGTCATGCACTTAATCCTCTGACTTGCCAACGAAAGTGCAGCTCCGTCAAGAACAAAAACGTATCTGCTGGTATTGCTGCGCGTCTGCCGGTCACACGCATCATCGGAATCCGCATACCCCACCAGGCGCAGAGTATCCAGTCCACCACCGAACTCGAGGGCGAAATCGCGGGTGTCCACCACGTAGTCAATGCAGCGGTCCAGCTCCCTCCAGTGCTGGTCAGTGCGAATCGTCAACCCCGAGCCCAACTTGCTGCATGCGTATGCGACGTCGGGACGGGTCGTAGTTGTGGCAAACTGGAGCGAACCCACTTTCTGATGATACTCTTCCTCTTCACGCGCTTGGTATTCTTCGTCGTCAAATGTCAACTCGGTGTACGCGTCGACCGAGATAGGCGTTTTTGGGCAGCGACCTGTCTGCTCTTCGTCCACAAGCGGCGACGCAGCTTGTCCACGTATGCGCTTTGGTGTAGCCACAGCTTGCGCGCAGACCTGTCCCTTACTATCTCCAGCCCCAAATACTTCTGCACGGGATTGATTTCCCGTAGCTCGAATGCGTTTTGCAGAAGCTCACGGAGGTCCTTCAGCATCTCGAGGCTGCTACTTGCGGCGAGCAAATCGTCAACGTACACCAGCAGCCAGCAACCGACGCCATCAGCACCAAACTTGAAGTAGAGCGCTTCGTCAACCTGACTCTTGCTCCACCCGCCGCCAATGAGTATGCTGTCGAGCGCCGAATACCACAGCAGTGGACTCTGTGTGAGTCCGTACAAGCTCTTCAGAAGCTTGCACACGCGAGATGTACCGTCGTTGAAGTACGCCGCCTGCTCCATGTACAGAACCCGGTCCAATTTGCTCTGCAGGTATGCGTTTTTCATGTCCAACTGCATGACGTGCAGATCGAGTACCGCGACGATGGAGAGGAAAATGCGCAGTGTAATGTAGCTGCCAACCGGGGAATACGTCTCATCATCCGCGCCATAAATCTGCGTAAATCCCTTCACGACGAGCCGTGCCTTCTCGCGAGCGACCGTGTCGTCGGCGTTGTACTTTGTCGTAAGAACCCACCGGTTCTTCATGACATTGACGCCGCGCGGTCGAGGCACCAACTCCCATGTTCCGTTGGCAAGGAGGCTACGCATCTCCTCATCCATTGCCGCTTTCACCGCCTTCCCCTTCTAGCTTGCAACCGCTTCCTTGACGGTCATCGTTCCAATCGTTCAGGATCAGCGTGCACATCGGGATCCAGTTCTGGCAGCGTGGTATCCGCATTTGCGTCATCGAGAAGCGTGTTAGCGAATACCGGGCACACGTCGGCCCATTTCTTTGGAGGCACACCAAAGTTGGAGCGGGTGGAATGCCGTGTTGGCGGCTTGATTTCCACCACATCGCTCGAAGAACTTGTCAGAATCCCAACCACTAGACCATTGGGATAAAAGGGCTTGTTAAGTAGCGGATCAGTGTGCCCATAACCCTCCATGCCAACGTGCCTGTAACCCTTCACTAGGATCAATCGGGGATCTCCAGTGGACCCCTGACACCCCCCCGCACTGGGATGCCCGAAGTGCACACACTGAGATTCGAAACCGAGATCTTCGCTCTGATACCATGTCAGAATCCCAACCACTAGACCATTGGGATAAAAGGGCTTGTTAAGTAGCGGATCAGTGCGCCCATAACCCTCCAGGCCAATGTGCCTGTAACCCTTCACTAGGATCAATCGGGGATCTCCAGTGGACCCCTGACAGAACTGTCTCCAAACGACTCCCCTGCAGCTTCGCCGATGACCTCCACAACGTCGCTCGACGTGCTGCCGCTGATCTGCTCCCCTGTCAACTGCTCCCCTGCCGGTTTCTGCATACTAGGCGCCGGTTTCTGCAGGCGCCGATTTCTGCATACCGGGTGCGCCATCCTTAGAAGATGCGGCAGGTCGACCGTCGACGATGCCGATGCGTTGCGCCGAAGGTAGCGCGTCATGTCTCCCCTCATCGTCGTCGGCCGACTTGGACAGGGTGGCGGTGGTGGAAGGTAGGCTTTCTGCAGCTGGCAGCGGAGAGGAGAGGACTGTCAGATTTATATGACATAGCTGCTGTAGGCTATAGTGGGGTAGCACATATGGGGTACAACTTTCTAGGGTTTGTACTTGTACCCAACTTTCCCTTAGTCATTTCATTCCTCGTTTCTTCTCATGGTTTCAGAGCAGGTTCCCTAGTGGGAACGCTTTCTAGGGCCCACCTCGAATTTTTTTTCCTGCCCGGAGCGCGCTTCGCTCCTGCCCGAGTCGCGCCCCGAGTGCCCTCCCTACTGTCGCGCCGCCCTTAGCGGCCCCTCTCACGGCCCCTGGAGCCGCCCTTACGGCCTCGCGCGCCGCCCTGTCGGCCCCTCGCGCCGCCCGTCGACCGCGCGCGCCACCCTTGCGGCCCCTCGCGCCGCCCGTCGGCCCCGCGCGCCGCCTTTGCGGCCCCTCGCGCCGCCTTTCGGCCCCTCGCGCTGCCCTTCCGGCCCCTTACGGCCCCTCGCGCGGCCCCTTACAGCCCCTCGCGCTGCTCTCGCGGCCCGCCCTCGGCCGTCCCTCCAGCAGCGGCGGCCGCCGCCTCTACAGCAGCCGCCGCCGCGGCCGTCCCTCCAGCAGCGGCCGCCGCCGCCACTGCAGCAGCCGCCGCCGCGGCCGTCCCTCCAGCAGCGGCCGCCACCGCCTCTGCAGCAGCCGCCGCCGCGGCCGTCCCTCCAGCAGCGGCCGCCGCCGCCTCTGCAGCAGCTGTCGCCGCGGCCGTCCCTCCAGCAGCGGCCGCCGCCGCCTCTGCAGCAGCAGCCGCCGCAGCCGTCCCTACAGCAGCGACCGCGGCCGTCCCTGGAACAGCGGCCGCCACCGGCGTCCCTGCAGCACGCGCCGCCGCGGCCGCCTCCTACAGCGGCACGCCGTTGCCGCCACCTGCAGCGGCACCCACCGCTGTACCTGCAGCCGCCGAGTCGCCCGAGCTGCCGAGCCGCCCGAACGCCGAGCCGCCCGAGCAGCCGAGCCGCCCGAGCCGCCGAGCCGCCCGAGCAACCCGAGCCGCCTGAGCCACCCAAGCCGCCCGAGCCGCCGGTCCTTCTCTCCTGCCCGGTAAGAGCAGCACCTCCACACTGCGCTGCCCTTAGCCCGCTGCTCGTGCTGCTAGTCTACTGCTGTCATGGCTACCCCCAGTATCCTCGCTTTTGACGTTGAGGGTCGGGCCATTGACTTTGACGTCTGGGTAGATGACCTGCAGCTTTTCCTACAGTGCGATAGGGCAGACGGTCTCTCCCTCTTTGACCTCACTTCTGGTGCCTCTCCTGCCCCTGCTGCTGATGCTGACGCCACTGTTCGCTCATAGTGGGCCACACGCGATGCTGCTGCACGTCTTGCTATGCGTCGCCACTTGCCTACCTCTGAGCGTGCACACTTTAGCAAGTACAAGAGTGCTAGGACATTGTACGACGCTGTAGTTGCACGCTACTCTTCCCCTGCCACTGCTGCACTTAGCCGCCTCATCCTGCCGTACCTCTTCCCTGACCTCGCCGCTTTTCCCACAGTCGCTGACCTCATTACGCACCTTCGCACTAGTGACATTCGTTACCGCGCTGCCCTTCCCGCTGAGTTCTGCGCCAAGAACCCCCCCCTATGTACATCACCCTCTACTACATTGTCACCCGGCTCCCTGACACCCTTCGCCCGGCCAGGGACCACTTTCTCTCTGTTTGCCCTACCACTCTCACCGTTGACCTCCTCGAGGAGCGCCTCCTAGCAGCAGAGAAGAGCATAGTCGCTGTAGGAGCCTCTCGTAGTGACCCTCGTGCCCCTGTCTTTG